TATGTCCAGTCATGAAAGTTGATGATATGTGTATTCATCATTATGGGTAATACTCCATACTACAGAAGTAGGTCATGGTGATTTTCATGATGTATTCTATTAATAGTTTGCCTCTACATTGGTTTCTCAGACACTTGTATAACAGTCATAAAACTTGATGGGTTTATCTAACTTAGAGGTACTACTCACCGAAGGCAAACATAGGATACAGGTACCTATCTTACTTGCTTAGTGATGTAAGAGTCTTGGGATTGTGCCATGGTGAAACAAGCAAGACTTAGCATTTCTCAGTATTCTTGATTTATTATACAAATATGGGCCACCTATTTCTTCCAAATAATTATAAATACAATGTTTTTCGAATTTGATCTAAAAATTTAAATTTTACTTCTAAATTTGTTGAAAGAGGGGATCAATGACTGAGAAAGATTACTTAGTATATTATAATTATACAGTGAAGTTTTAGGAGTGGTAAATGCTAGATTGTTCAATTACTTTTGTGGCTTGTATATGTATAAGAAAACTATTTTCAAATGTACTCATTATAGAATTGTAATTATTATTTTTGCATTGTACAAAAAAGTCCTTTCAAGGATTTATTGCAAGTGCATTAAACATATTATTTTAAAGGTTAAATGTTTTGGTTCTTACTATCATGCTTGGCTGTGCACAATAATGTTCTGTTTATGTTAAAACCATCCAACCCTGAACAGGTACTCTAAATGCATCTGAACCCATTGTATAGTGTATAACCTCAATAAACCAATAACTCCTCATACATGTGTGCATGGGTGTGTGTATATTTATGTGTACATGTACATACCTATGTTGGGTTTTCATTCAAAAATTTCGAATGATGTCTAGGTGGTTCTAAGCAAAAATGGTGCTATCAGATGTCAGGCATGGCCACAATGCAGAAAATCTTGAAAATTGTTTTAGTACTACTGCTTCTGAATGGATGTTCATATTGACATGGGTTTTCATTAAAAAATGCCCATACAGTGTGGATTTGGCTGAATGATGTATATCTGACATGCAATATGGCAGTCATTTAAAAAAATTGTATTACAACTCTACTTAAAGAAATTCATATTAATAAAGAATTTGTTTTTGCCTTGTAAAGCATCATTCCTTCAAGGGACAGCTTAATTATATAAGTTTGCATTATAGAATCTGGAGAAAAAAAAGCACCTAGTCCCATCAAGGATTTATGATGATGTACAGTATATATTATTTAGGAAGTTCATTTACTCCACAAATTTTTGAAATGGCAGTGCCATGATGGTATACAGAGATCAGAACCATTAATAAAGTACACTTAACATCGAGGAAGCATAGAAGTTCTGAATTCAGCCACTTGTCAACTTTAATGGGAGGGGTTCAATACAGAAATTTCTTATCCAGCTTTTTCATGTTATCTTAGTTATTCCTTACTCAAGTCAAACTCGGTTGAAAGTATTTGGGAAAAAAATAGGAAAACACCAGCAAGAAAGCTTTGGATAAAAAGCACTAAAGAAATGGTGCACAGTGTAAGACTTTGTGATCAATTTATCTTCTTTGAAATTTCTCAGTATTTTTGAGCTGATTCTGTGTGCTACTTGTGCTTTTTTATATAGAAATTTCTAATTTGTGTGATTTGAAATTTGTTAGTTTTGGGGTCCACTTAAATGTATTGACAAATTATCCAACCAGCTCTTGACAGCCCATATGTCAGTGTTGTGTTAATGAAATTAACACAAATGAAATTAAATTAAATTAATTTCATTAAATTTCATTAAATTAATGAAAGCAGGCTTTATCCCCATCTTCAAGTGTTGTTCCCATTTTGATGCACCCTTTTGTGACTTTCATTTACAGTGTTTAGATAAACTATTTTCTCATTTGCTCTAAGTACACATATACACTTACAATGAAGGATCACTTTTGGGTAGTAGACAGTGTGAGATGTATAGACCTTATTTCTGAATCCATTGAATAAGTTAGTCAACCATGTTTAGTACCTCATTATCTTTTAACCTTCAGAGATGCCATGGTCACTCAGTTGTTAGCAGACCAGACTTCTGACAGTGTGGAGTCAATTCCTGTCCCAGATCACTGCAGGTCAGCTACCATGGTGTGTCCCTAGGCAAGGCTCCTTACTCCAATTGACCTTGATGTTTTGTACTATTAAAACCAAAATAAAACATTATACATGACCAGTAGTACTTCAGCCATCAGTTCTTTGGCATGGTTGTGATTGTATGATTTGCTAAATCCATTTCTCTTCAGGACAATGCTTTTACACTAATATCTACATCATCTTGCTGTTTACATGCAAAATTAAAACCATAGCCAAATGCAAGTAATATAATATAATATAATAAAATATAATATAATATAATATATAATTCTAAAGAAACATGGCTGTTATCACTTGATTATTTAAGCATTTTGTAACATAGCTCTTGATGTCCACTGTCATTTTGTAACATTGATCTTGATGTCTGCTCTTGTACATGTGTAACAATTTGAAGTGATATTTAATATGCCAAGAATAAAATGTGACACACAGTGGTAGTTTGTAGGCAACATACTAATTTGCCTTACCTGACACTCATCAATATTTTCACAGAAGGGACTGAACACATTCAGTACATTTTCAAAGCATGGTACCCCAAACAGCATAATGCATTTATTATCATAGTATCAACCTTTTTTAATGACATTCTTTCAAATAAGAATTTGAGCTTCCACTAGTAATCAGAATTGACTTAACAGATTTGCTATTTTAGGGTATGGGGAGATGGGTGGCTGAGTGGTCTAAAGTGTCCACTTTTACCAATCACTGCAATCTCATCTCTGTTTTTGATGGTTTGAGTCTCGGGCTTGGTCAGTGTGTGTATGTGAGAACACTGACAGTAGCATCCCTTGGGTAGGTGGTTCTTGTCCCAGCTTTTTCTCCACAAAATATACTTGCCTCCATGTATAACCTCATATGTGCTGAGAAATTATGTTAAAACCATAAACAATAAATGAATAACATCAGTGTGGAGTGATGTTTCTATGGCCAAGATAAAATTAGAGGTAAATACAAGAATTGGACCAATAGGGCTTAAATTTTGTAACAAGGAAGTGAAATCAACAGATTCAGTAAAATTAGCAAATCATTTATTTTTGTATTGTGAATTAATCCTAAATGTTTTATCACAAGTCCAAAAGTATAATATGTTCTGAATTAGAATCTTGAATGTTTAGTTTCCACAATGATGTAAACCAGTAAGGCTTTGAATGAGTTCTCATTAATCCCACAGTAATGTTTTTGTCCAAAATGTTGAGAACCACCTTGTAATTCCTATGCATAATTTAAATAATTTCTCACAAATTATATCTGAACACAACTAGAAATGATTCTACAGGTATCATACAACAGGAATGGATAACTGTTTATTATACTTACTTATGTACAAACACCTGAATTGCGATGCAGTAGATCACTCTGGAAAAACCAAATTTCGAATGGAATATTCTCAAAAGATTGTAAACAAGGATAGGCCCTAAACTTGATTTTAGTAAATATCTTGTTTATTTTGTAAAATCTTGACAAAACTTGGGTAGACATTAATTCCACAACTCTCATTTAATTTTTGATCTCACACTTTAGATACATATAATATTTCATAAAGAAAAATAAATATTTGTAAATAAAGCTTTCTTTTACTTATTAGTCAAATGTATTAGTTAAATATATGATACTATAATAATTAAAACTTCACAAGAAGATGTCTAATGAACAACATGAAATACATGCAAAAAAAATATAGCTCTTCTGTGTACATGAAAAGGCACCTGCAATCACCTTACCTTATCCTCTAATACATCTAATGTCAATATTGTATTCTGCATGAGTACTCCATATAACAATCATTGGTTTTGTTTTTCATTTTTCTAATGAAAGTAAGGGGTTTGTCATAACTTACTACAATGATCCAAGAAGTAGCTGAACTAATATATACTTCAAAATGTTGCAAATTAAAAATTAAAGCCAACATTCATTCTCGTTTATGGAATAATTTCTCTGGTGCTTTTTATTTATTTTTTTATGCAGATAAATAGCACTGGATAATCCACACTATTTCTATCTTCTTGAATCAATAATACACCAAATCCTACATCATTTGCAATAACAAGAACTTTAAATAATAGACTAGAATTTTGAGCTGAAAGAACTGCTGCACTTTTAAGTATGGCCAATAATTTATCAAAAGATTCCTGATACTTGTCAGACTTATGAAGCTTGGATTTCTTGTTCAATAGATTTGCCACAGACATGGCAGTAATGGAGAAATTTTAGCAAAATATTTGATAATTCACTCTGTAAAGATGTTTCATAAGTGTAGAATCTACCATCTCAACATGAAATTTTATTTGTTCATGTTGGACCATAGAAAACAAGTGCTTGTATTCACATCACAGCTATTTTAGTTCACTCTTTTCCTGATGATCTGGATGTGAAATTTACTCATCAGTTTGTTTAATATTTCTGAATTCTAAGGCTGGTTAAATAAGATTTACCGCAATCAGACTGCATACCATTGTTCACAACTTCACTGGAGGAAAGGTACAACTATATTGATTGAATAACTGAGCAAATATCTACCAAAATAGTTTGTGGCAAAATATTTTACCTTTTTCTCTTCCCAGAAGTGTTAATTATGCAATTCAAGTCATTTACTTTTAAATTGTATAAGGACCGTACAATTTCACCCAAAGATAATTTTGAGGTATTTCAAGTAAGGCAAAAATCTATTATTGGGTTTAAATCTATATTTTATATTCTGTTATACTTTAGTTTCATAATTGACTGAATAAAGTGATGTATAATTATTGTTACTTCACAAGCCTTTGACAGCTTATATTTGATATTATAGATATAGGAAGAATCATCTTGGAATCTTCATTTGAAGAAGCTATTTTAATAGCTTTAATAGCAGTCTGCAGACATTATGTCAAAACTAGTTAATCGCTCGGAAGGCCTAGTGGTTAGAGCATCTGCCTCAGATGCGGGAGGTCATAGGTTCAATCCTTGGTCGAGTCATACGAAAGACTTACAAAAATGGTATTAACAGCTTCCTCACTTGGTGCTCAGGATAATGTGACTGTCTGTGGCATGATGACCTAGTGCTAGACATCACTATAAACTTCCACGCTGCAGACATCATAGTGATACGCCTGAAAATTTTTTAAAACTACGTTATAAATCATAATCACATCACATAAAACTAGTTCAAAAGGACTAAAATTCTGTGATTCTTGAATTGATTCCCTAACAGCAAACAGCAGATGAACATCCCCATCCCAATCTTGTCATGTATCAAATTAATAGGACTGAATCATAGTCTTCAAAGGTTAATGAAATCCTTCCAAGTTCCCTTGACTTTCATGGTGATTGGCAGATTTAAACTGTTGGATGCCAAATTGATGCATAAATCATTGAAAAATTCCAGATATAAAATTTGATCTTTGATCACACTGGACATATTTGGGAAGATCAACTGGCCAAAAACCCTCCCAAAACCCCCAAACAAACAAAAAAAAACTTTCTCAAAATCTTTTACTTTGGGTTTAGTTTTAAGGGTCCTCAAAGGAATTGTCTCTGGAAAAATCTTGTGGACACAACCATTATGGTTAACAAGTATTTGTTGCCTGACTTGTTCTGAGGTAAAGGATCAACACAATATACCATTATTCTGCTAAATGGATTTTCAAATGCCAAAATAGGTTGCAGATGAGCCTTAGGTATATTTTAAATTTGGTTTTCCTACCTATTGACAAGTGTAACAAGATCTATAATATTTAAAAATCATCATCATCATTATTAATCCCATAACCTAAGAGGTTGTTGGAGCACCACAGTTGACTTTACAACCAATTCTCTCCAACTTTCCCTGTTCTCTACTGCCCTTTGGGAATCTCCAAATCGCATGCCTGTCCACTCCTTAATGTTGTCTTACCACCTCTTTTTCTGCCTGCCTCTTCTGCACCCACGCACTGTGCCTTGCAAGATTGTTTTTGCCAGTCCAAATGATTTTGTGATTTGACCGTACCACTTCAGGTCTTTATAGAATTTGATGGCTCGTTGGATCCTTTTGTGGACTTCTTCTTTGGTTATATGGTCAATGTATGAGATGCCCAGGATCTTGCAGTAGTATCTCATTTCAACGGTTTGAATCCATCTTTGTAGATCTGATTTGAGTGTCCGTGTTTCACAAACATACAGAAAGATTGATATGACAATTGAGCACATCATTATTTTGGAAACAAAAGCCAATTTAGATCACTTTCCATATTGATCTCAACCTTGTTATTGCTGCTGTTGTCTGTTAGTAATATAACATAAATAAAAACGTTCATCTTCTCATAGATCTTACTGACTTCTAAATGTCCAGCCAAGGGCATCTCATGGGCGTGGCTAAGAATTTGCTGTTGATATGACCTAGAAATGACAATTTGATAACTCGTTCGCTCATCACCAAAAAAAATACAATGTTCTCATAAGGATCCCAATTTTTGAAAAAAAATAAAGGAACTGGTACTTGTGTGGCTTCAGATATGACCAATATATGTGTCAGCTAAATTAATAGTTTCCTGATTAACATAAATCACAAGTGCTGCTTTGTCATAGCAATAGAACTTCACAAGCATACAAATTTCATTGTCTAATAAATCAACATTTCGATCCGTTACACATGGATTAACTACAATCTTATCTCCAGCTAGGCCATTGCTTACTGATAACTGAATAGGTAAAGAAGTCAGTGCTATAACAGTCACTGATCCTGTGATATAGTCTTATACAAAATTGACACCATGGAAAAAAATAGTAACAATGCCGCACTCTACTCCCTGAATAAAAACATTATCATTAGATGATTTCTCAATGGCAAAGTACCTGGTAACAAAAACTCCGAGAAGCTCCTTTGTCCCTAAATATTTCAGTTGGTACATGCAGCTGCTTGGCAAAATCACCATAAAGTGATATAGAATCTTTTGACATCAATGGTTCATAATTTTTCAAAATAAAATCATGTTTTTTTTAAAAAAAATCTAATCAGCGTATGTTATTTCAATAGAGATGGTGACTTGACTTCTTTAAAATAAGATCATTTGGATTAGCTCCGTATTTATACTGTTGCTTATTTTACGACCTATAAGAATCAGAAATGCCGTGCAATTTCTTTTTATAATAAATGCATTTAGAAAGAAATAAGTATTTCTGATCAGTCTTACTAGATGTTAGATTTCTAATAGTTATTCCAGATTGAGATTTGGAAGAGTTCGCATGAGACAGAAATTTGTTACCAAACAAACTGCCGAGAGAAAGATTTATTGACAAATGAAACATTAAGAGTCAACGAATAAGCATAAGCTTTATGAATAGCATTTTCTACAGTTTTATCCTTTGCACATCAAGATAGGTTTTGACATCATTATGGATGCAATTCTTGAACTATTTAACTAATATGAGCTGTCTAAAGTTATTATAATCTTGATTAACTTTCTTGGCTTAACACCACCTATCAAATGGTTTTCCTTCTTTGAAATTCGACATTGGTTTGACAAGTTTCCGTTTCTTAACCTTTGTCGATATGCCTCCGTACCAACTCATAAACCTTTAAGACACAATCTTTATCCATTTCATGAGAAGCACAATATTTGTACTGCCGCGAAGTGTAGACTTAACGAGCTTTGTCAATAAGTACATTTTCTAATAACGAAGTCCATTGAGCTCTTGGCCATTCAGTAATTTTTTCAAAGTGAGGAAAGATTTTATCCAACCATAGATAATGATACTGCAACAAAAAATACGTCGATGATCAAGAATCTCAGTATGTAGTATCCAAAGGTGGTATAATGCGTGCATTTCTCAACATGAACAATAATGGCATTAATAATCTCAGAACACCAGAATCTGAGTTTGATGCTGCAGCGAAAAAACACGTCAATGATAAAGAAGTTCCAATCAACAATGAAATTGCCACACTCGAAACTGATTTTACCGGTCACGTGAACACGTTTTTAAGTTTTTGCAGAAATATAAACAGAACTACTAATGAATTGTTTGGAAGTCCACCAAATGTTGATATTACACTCGCCGATATTAACACAAAACTGAACGATATTATCATTGGAATTCCAGATATTGTTAAAAAAATCGAGCCTGATTAAAATTCCTCACCAGCAGATTAAAAATATCGTGTACACATTTGCATCTGTATCTGGTACATGGTCGCAGCAAAACAACACTCAATCAAACCGCAGAGGTCACTGGTGTGTATAGACTGTCTGTGTTTAGCTCTGCAAAATTTAGTATTTATACTACAACATTTTCATGGCGTCATCATTCAACCGATGTTTTCTCTGGAACTATATCTATAATATTAAATAAAGATACCAAAGAAACTTTTATGCTGATAGCTGATGATGAAAAATTAACTGCAGCTACTTACTGATGGCGTCTGGAATTCGTCGCTGACACAACACAATTAATTAACGTCATAGTATAATGAATCAAATAACTCCGTCATCTATCGACGTTCAGCGTCACAGATATAATCAAGAGTGTGAATGCCTGACCAAACTAAGAAATACAATCGACAATTATACAGTGAAATTTTAAAAAAATATCGTAAACGTATTGTTGTCATTGACATAATTGTTTACTCAGTTTCTGCTATTGTTACTGGAGCCTGATTAATATTATCAACATTAACAATGACAGCTCCAGCAATTATAACAATTATTGTTTCAACTTCAACAACTATAGCGGGTATTCTTAGTATTATTGCTAAAAAGATAGCTACATGTGCCAATGATAAATTGCGTGAGTATATGACAAAATTACACACGGCAACAGCAACCTATTCTAAACTATCTGGGTATATTTCCACATATCTCAGTGATGGTAAAATATCTGACGAGGAGTTCGCAACTATAATGAAAACCTACGATGAAGCAATCGTTCAGAATCGTTAGTGATTCTGGTGACAGTGACCAAAGTAAAACAATGGAGAATCAAACAATAACTAATAACAATGTCAGCGTCTGAACATCGTTCGGACATTGAGTCGAGAGAGTTGCTACAGCAGATCGTCACTAATACAAAGATGTCAAAAATTACAATGATACCAATAAGTTCGACCAATCCTAAATTCAACGTTTTCTTTCCAACCGCAATTCCAGTAAAAGAGATAGCATTAGCTCAGTTACGGGTTTATTATGGCTGGCCTAATATTAGATCAAAACCATTTGGTGGACTACAGCCAAATAATTCATTAGTATTTGCAAACAAGAAGAAATCTGATGGAACTCCCGATTGGTAAGCAGTTAGTATTCCAACTGACAGTTATCAAATAGAGCAAATCAATGAGGAATTTCAGCACAGAATTAAATCTATTGAAGGAAAATAATCCAAAATAACAATTACTGTTCAGAACCAACATTATCGTTGGTGATTGAAATAAATATCCCTGATTATGATGTAGATACTTATCAAAGTTCGATTAGATCAGTACTAGGATGGCCGAAAATTGCACCAGCTTATCAGGATCCAAGAGAGCCGCAGCGATCCGACCTCTTCATAGATGTTAATAAAGTTATACAACTTCCAGAATATAGAAAAACTTATTCATTTATAGAGATTACGCATACTTATCGTGGTTATACACATTATGTTTATTTTTTAGATTTCATTCAAGGCAAGAAAGGTACAGCAAGAATATCGATACATAATGTCGAAAAAATTAACTCAAGATCAAAACCAATTAAATCTGAACATGAGCGCGTGTTAAATGATCTCAGATATTTATTTTAGCATCAAGACTTTTTATAACGATGATTTAAAAAATCAGATAATTGAAACAATACAGCATCTAAATCAGACTTAGAATATGTAAATAAGGCTATAGTTGACAGAGCAGACTTGTAAACAGACTTAGAATATGTAAATAAGGCTATAGTTCACAGAGAAAAAATATTAAACACGCTGGCAGATAATTTTTTTAGTTCTTACCTAGTTAATGAAGACGACCCAATTCA